GGATTTGCACGCCCCAAATGAAGAGTGCATGCAGAGGATAAAGGGAATAATCGAAGCTTGCAACAAAAGAGGGTCACATGCCCCAAACGAAAGAGGCATATAGGAGGCAAAAATGCCCAGATTCGAAAGAGACATACAAGAGGAAAATTTTGCAATCGAAGGATGCCAAAAGGAGGCTTTTTTATCTTGGAATTGAAGGAGGCTACAGAAGGCTCTTGCCTTGAGCCTGCTGGCCTTGTGGGTGCCTCTTGCACGCAAAAAAGGAGTTATGGCTCAATCAAAAGCTACATATAGCCAGCCATCACTTTGTGAGTCAAAGCAAACATGGAAGGGAATATTTGTCCAGTCAACACAGGCATGCAAGCATCAAACATTCAATCGAAGCAGGCACATAAGCAATCACTTCACTGTGAATCCTGTGAGGCCAAAGATACAATCAAAGGTTGCATGCAGGAAGCTCCTGCTTTGTGAATCAAAGCTAACGTGCCAGAGGCCCACACCCAGTCGAAGGATGCAAGCCAAGCTTGCATCGAAAGAGGCCAAAAGGCCAATCGAAGGAGGTGAATCGAAGAAGACTTGTTTTTTCTTCAATTTGTCACAAATATTATTTTTATCTATTTTCCCCTTTTTTAACAACTTCCTCATTAATTTGATGCTGAAAAATCCAATTGTACTTATGCAAGCTTTAATTTTGAGAATACTTGTAAGAAATACCTTGAGAAATGCGAGGGAAAATTTTGGGGTACAACAGGAATTTTGTGGAATTCCTCCAGGGGAATCTTGAGAAGCTTAATGACTTCATTGGGGATTTTGGAGAAGTAATTGGAGATCTTTGCTTCTACTGGGGATGCAAGAACAACTGACATCAATAGGTTACCTGCTTAGAATATGGCAGTGACCTTTGTTAGGAGGATGCCCCTGCCTCTGTACCTGTTGGAGAAGGTATCTGCTGGGATTTTGTAGACGGTTTTGATTGTTATCATAACATATAGAGTCCTTGGTGTATGTTGATCAGAGAGTGTTCTACTGATAGACAAATGACAAGATGACGGGACATAATCTTACGCTTTAATCCCTAACTTTTGCTTGGACTTCCCTTTTAGGTTTTCAGTCCACCAGGATACCCTTTTTTGCCCAAGTCGCCTTTTCAGGTTTTCGACTTGCTGGGTGTATAATATTTTTGTGCATATATCCCTATTTTTTGCCCGAACCCTTTTGGTTCGCCGGGATGCCCTTATTTTTCCTAGGCCAGTCAATCTAGCGGGTCTTTGTTTATGCGTAGTATTTTCCGACTATGTCCATGTTCAACGGGTATGGAGAATCTGTCACTGTCCATAATAGTAAGTGTTGTCACCCTGCCCGAAGATGTTTGGCTGATCGTACATGATTCGTTGCTATAATTCATGTCCAATGCCCCAGGTGATTCAAATGGAGATCTGCCTCTGGTTATTTGGCATTTTTGAGGGATTCCTTGGACCTTAATTTGACTGTCCCAGATCAGCTGGACACCATGTTATGCCCCTTAATTATGAAAGGCCTATCACTGGAGTGTCTTCCCACCCGAGGTGATTCTGCTCATTGAGAGGATTTCTGTTCATTAAATATTCGTCGTGTAAATTTCTCTATTGTTTGAACGATTAGCCATATGCAAACAATTGTATTTTAAGAATGCACAACGTATGTCTGTCTTGAAGTTTGAAAATTCGTTTTTAGTAAAACAAACAAATTTTATAAGAGTGTGATATCAACTCAGGATTTGTAGCAAGTCCTACAGGAGTCAGGATACCTTTTGTAACAGTATGCTTCCGAACTAACCCATGCTTCAGCTAGGACTTTTAAGGGTTATAACGTAGCCTGGTTCACGGTTCAAGAAACAAAGGATAAATGCTCAAATTTTATTTGTACCCAACCCGCTCTTCGTGATGTTCTTCAGTCTTATGCTCATTTAATTGTGCAATTATATCCCAATTGACTATGGAATCTTTGCTCTGATACTTGGTGATGGTTCAGAAATTGAACTTTTGTTTGAGAGACAGTCATTTTTGTGATCTTTTTTTTGTCGAGGATTTATAATAACCTCTTTTTTTGTTATCCCTACTTTTGCCTGAACTGTTTCTTTTATGGTTACAGCCAGCGAGATTCCCCAAGGCAAGTAAAGATATTTCGGCCTGGTCTCGGTTTACACGAACGTACCAGACGATTTTGGTCCAAATTTTTTTCCATCATTGTTATGGTTCAGTCTTAGTTTACCCGATTAGGGTTTTGGTCCATTTCTCGGGAGCCTGAATACTCGGACCGGCTCGGACCAAAAACAGCCCTAGGAAAGACAAAACATAGACTTCTAGTAACTTTTTGCATAGTGTTTGTCGGGCGAGGCTTGAGCTTAGAATTCACTTGGCGAGATTTTGGTCACCTGGCGAACTTAGATATTATGACCAGGGCGATTTAAGTGTTTTAGGAAGGCTGATGTGAGGCAAAAAGGTTATTTTGTCGAGCGAGGCATTAGCTTGCCAGGAAAATCAGAAAAATAAGTTTTGTATATATAATGACCAAAAAACATTGTAAGGGGGCTTTTGGGGGAATTTAAGGTTTTTTTGACCTAGAAACCAATTTTGGAGTGTGATACACTTAGAAAACAACAAAAGAGCGTGCTCTTTTAAGAATTGGAGTTGGAGTTTGCATCAATCATTGGGAAATCACGATGGATGCTTGTTCTTCTTCGTTCTTCTCTTTGTATTTAGTTATCATGGGTAACTAAATCCCTTTTTTGTTGGGATTGGATGTAAGTTTACCATAATAATATGTATTTTTATTGATCATGGTGTTGTATACAGTCTATTTATGAGTCTATATTGATGTTATCTTTGATTTCATGTTATTTTTGAGATTTGAGTTGATGTTGAGAAATAAGGTTCAAATATTGATTAAAGATGAACATCTGTTAGATTCTAAATGCTAGACATAGATTTAGGTTTAACATTCACCAAAAGTATCAATTCTTAATGCACCGTATTATTTAATAGACTGAGAAATCGTCGATTAAACAATAAGGTTGGAATTGTTTAATAGGCTGAGAGATCGTCAATTAAAAGGTTGAAATCTCATCAGATGTTTAGACATAAACTCCGTTTTGAGCGATACAGGATAATATTGATGAATGTTTAGATTGTGTACAAATGATTGGTAGATTGCATACTCTATTGGTGGATGAAATCCAATCCTGACAACTTCTCATATCTCTGAAACTTTATTTATCATTCACCAGTTTTATATTATGTAACTTTAAACTTTCAAACATCTTGCAAACGAAAGCTTAAAATCATAGTGATTGTTGAAAGACCTTAATATTGCATTAATCCATGTGGAGCCGATAAAAAATACTTACTTTTTCTTATTGCTTTACCGCAACAATAGAAGTATCATTGATAATATTGTCTCACCTTGTCAACCGGGTTTTATCCTAAAGAGAAGCACATACAACAACATAGTGGTGGCAGATGAAGTCATGCACACCATGTAGAGATTGAAGGGCAATACGTGTTTATTTTCTATAAAACTTGATTTATCCAAAGCTTATAACAAGCTGAGATGGGGGTTTATGGCCGAAGTCCTTGATGAAGTTGGGATTCATGTTAAGCTTAAGTAGGTTGTTATGGAGTCCATAACCACAATCAAGCTGAATGTGAATTGAAATGGTCAAAAGGGAAATTACTTTAACATGAAGAAATGGATTAGGCAAGGAGATCCTATATCTCCTTACATTTTTGTGCTTAGTCTGGATAAACTCACTCATATAATAAATGGTGAGCAAGATGAAGGTGCATGGACACATATGTGTATTAGGAAAAAGGGTCATTGCTTAACACATTTGATGTTTGTAGATGACATCCTCATGTTTGGAAATGCGACATATCAGCAAATGGGGTGCAAGATGCAGGTACTTGAAACCTTCTGTTAGGTATCAGGACAAAGAATCAGTTTTGAAAAAACTAATATTTACTTCTCGACTAATACTCTATCTTACATGTGAATGAAGTTGGTTAGTAGGTCACATTTCAAAGAGACTAACACTTTAGACTCTTACCTAGGAGTCCCTTTAACTAGTAAGAGTCCAAGAGTGAAAGACTTCCAATTTTTGCTGGATAAGGTTAAGAAAGCTAGCTGGTTGGAAGACGCGACAACTCTCTTTTGCAGGGAGAACTGTGCTTGCTAAATCAATTTCGGAGGTGATTCCCACATATGCGATGATGAGCTCGAGGGTGCCCAAAACTATCTTACAGAATCTCCAGGAAATTTAGAGGGGTATTATTTGGGGTGATGAGCTAGATAAAAAACACTTACACACCATTTAATGGAAGAAGATAGCCAGACCTAAGGATGTTGGTGGGATTGGGCTAAGGGTATTAGCTACTATGAATCAAGCTTGTGCGACCAATCTAGGGTGGAACATATGGCAGAATCACAATGCCATATGGTATGAGTTGATGAAAGCTAAGTATCAAAAGCAAATACAGAACTTGAAGGTCATCACTACGAAAAACTTCTGACTCAATTCTTTGGAAGTTTATAGTGGAGGGAGCTTCCTGGATAAAATGTTGATATGGTTGGTGGGGAATGGCAAGCGTATCAATCTTTGTGATGATTGCTGGCTCGAGCCAGGTCTCATAATTAAAGATCAGACGGGAAATGTGCCTGAAGATATCAAAGATAAGGTGGTGGCGGAATGCACTTCCATGAGTAGTGATTAGTATTGGAGTTTTCTTGGGAGATTGCTGAAAAACGAGGCGCTGAATAGGATATAGGCCATTCCTCCTCCAAAATATTCTGCTAGGGAGGGTGTTTGTTTGTGGAATGGTATTAGAAGTGAGAGTTTTACTGTTGCGAGTGCTTACAAATGCTTATGTAACTGGAAGAAGGAGAACAAAGACTTAATCTAGAAGGAGGTTTGGAGTTTGAAAGTGCCATAACGATTCATTCCTTTGTTTGGCACCTTAAGCACAATGGTATCAAAAACAAAGCAACTCTTATCCTTGAGAGGATTGAGAGGTGCCTCTTGCAAGGATTTCCCTGAGAGGAAAAGTCTCTTCTCCATGTGTTTCGGGATTGCATTATTGCAAAACCTATGTGGTTGTACTTGGTTGCAAATAAGTATCAGACTGCATTTTTTAATACATATATTGATAGATGGTTTAAATTGAACATGTATGGCAGACTGTGTCGAGACAATACTAATATGAATTAGGTTGAGTTGTGGGAGACATCGAGTCACACATTGTGATATTGGAGGAATCAGCGTATCCACAAACCCGATTATGTGATGCTAGCTAACTTGAGTTGGCTCGTTTTAGAAAAATTTAAACAATATTCTGTCAGTGCCAGTCTGCTCAAAAGATGTCACAACAGATACGTTACTACAATTTGTTTGAAATGGCATCCGCCTGAGGAACATCATGTGGCTTTGAATGTGGATGATGTAGTGTCAGGGACTGATATGGTAGGGTGTAGTGGGTTGATTAGAGATAATAAAGTGCAATGAATTGTAGGTTTTTCCTAATATCTCGGGACTTGTAATGTGTTGACAATTGAGCTTTGGGGAGTTTGAGAGGGAATCTCCTTGGCTAAGGAAAAAGACTGGTTGAATTTGGATATTCAAGCTGATAATAGTGAAGTTTTCCAGCTGCTTACCAAAACGCATATAAAAGGACACCACAATTCAACCTAGTTGTGAAAATTAGGAAAGATTTATAGAATATGCAGGAGGTTAAATGGAGGAAGATATATCGAGAAGTTAACGCGTGTGCGGATGTCATGGCAAAACTTGGCATTGTGGATCCTAGAACCAATATTAGTATAGATAGACAACATAAACAATTGTACTTCGTGTGTTCCCAAACTATAATTAAGACTTATGGGGAAATTTTTTGTGGTACCACCTCTAAGAGAAGGGTGTGTCTAATTTTCTCTTAAACTTTTAGCCCTCTATTTAAAAAAAAAAAAAAAAAACTAGAACTATCCTACACGAAGCCTATAAAAAATAACTATAGTTAAAAGAAGTAGAACCAACAATAAAAAAAGAAGTTAATTATCTATATTATATTTTTAACAATCTACAATAAAAATACTATAATTATTCTCTTTACTATATGAGAAATGACTACACATTAAATATTTTTCACGATTATATGTGAATTTAATATTTAATATAGTTTTTGTAATGATATGAGAGATTGTTAATATTTAATCTAAATTATTTTTATTATATATTTTAATTTAACACTTTACGGAAAATTATAATATCTTAATATTAGTATTTTAAAAAATAATATTTTTATTTTAAATAAATAAAATAAAATAAAATAAATGAGTATGAATTAATTAGTTAATTAGATTAGACTTCGTCCTTCAATTCAGTAAATGGGCCAACAAAGTCCCTCTAGAAAATTATGGCCCATAAGATGTAAGAGGCTCACCCATTCATAACGGGAGGGTAGTTCCGTCATTTCAGCCGCGGCTCAAACCCTAGACCTAATTCAACACTCCTATTTATACAGCAGAATTCTCGTACAGCCAATTGTTGAGTTTGAGTCGCCTCATTTGTTCTCTCTGTGCCTTTTTCTCTCGTGATTATTTTCTTCATTATCTTTATAATTCACTTGCATTTCTTTTCGTTTTTTTTTTTTGTTTTGTGTTTTATTTTGAAGGCAATGATGTTTACAACTACCTATTTTATGAAGGAATTCCTTTATGATTAGGAAATTACCAATGGATCCTTCTGAGCCTTCAGATCTTTAAACATGTTTTGCGTTTTGTTTTATTTCACTTCTTTATGATTGCAGATCTCATAAATTTGATAGAGTTTTTTTTTTTTTGATTTTTTGTACACTATTTATATATGTCAGAGTTGTTAGAAGTAGATTGATGAAGTTGAATTGAAAGAGGCATTAAGCTGATGATATACCGATCCGAATTTCTCATGATGATGGTAAAATTTCAGACTACAATTATCTGATTAATGTCTCATGAATTTAGATTTGTTCGCTTTGTTTATGTGTAACCTTTTCCAATTATTCATAAACTCTTTAATTTCAAACTACAATTATCTGTTTAATTTCAGATTATAAAACATCGGATTAAAATTACAATTTGAAAACATAAGATCTTAAATTTTAATTATCACTCTAGAAATAAACTCTTTAATTTCGAGATTGATAATTAAAATTTAACCATTCTTAGAGTGATTAAAAATTAAAGTTTTAATATCATAATTAACACTTTAAGATCACTAAATGACTGTGTTTTGAAATGTTGGTTGATTTTTGTTTTTTCATTTTATCAATTTAATAGACTTTCTTCCCTTAGTATGTTCTGTGCATTTTCTTCACTTAATATGTTCTGTGCATTTCTTCACTTAGTGTGTTTTGTGATTATTATTGTGAGCATGCTTTCTTTTGAATTTTGGTGTATGTCAATTTAATTTTGGTGTTCAAGGCTGAAAATATGTTTGATTATTATACGGGTTAAAGGTATTAGAGGAGACTTGTTTTTGGAATTCCTTAGAAATGAGATGTATATACATAATGGTAAATGAAGTTATGGTATGCAACAATCATGGGGTTGACAATACCTCACTTGACAGTTGTATACTACTAGGAAGCCCCATATCTACTTTGTGCAAGTCTCAAAATGATACAAAAAATGCTTCTAGCTGCAATTTGGGTCCTTCGTTGATGATGAATAGAAAGCCCTCAAAGTTCTACAACCAAATTGATTAAAGTTAAAGCGAAAAGGGGTACGTCTTCATCAAATGATAGTGTTTGACCTAGGACCCAATTCTGTATTCTTGATAACATTCGGTAAGGAATACAAAAAGTGAAATATTTCCACCATACAAGTAACCCCATACAGTTCAATTATGAGCTGCACATCATATGATGCACCTTCCTTGCCAGTAAATACTATCGTTGTGTTCTCATCCATCAGTTACTGTCACATCACTTGCAGCATTTGAAGCAAAGATTGTGGATTGCGGCTGATTAAGATTGAAGATGAAGCTTAGTAATGGAGATGGACATGTAGTATGGAGTTTAGAGACAAGATTAGGTTTAGGATCAAAATAATTTGTAATTTATTTGATATGTGTATGGATTTGTAATATGATGATCTCTGATTATTGTAATGAAATTTGGATATGAAATGTAATATCCTTTCATCTTTCCAAAATCTTTGCAATTTGTTTAACTTGAATGCAGAAGCATTTGGATTAATATGACTTGTTCATGGCATGAGAACAAATGGCAATTTGAATGGATTTGATTCCAATAACAAATTCTCGAGTATTCAAATGGAAATTTTAGAACTTGAATTCTATTAAAAAATAAACTTCCGTGCCATGTTTTAGCTTTACAAAGCCTTATTTTGACAATTGAACTCCTTGTTATCAATGCCTCACATCATAAGCCATGATCCATTGAAGAAACACCTTTGAACCATATAAAGCTCTGTTTGACCAAATGAATCCACATTCTTTCTGTTGTTTTACACCATTCAATAATACCTCAATGTATGTCTTGATCACTTCTTTGACTCTCAAGAAGGCCAAATAAACAGATGGATTATCATGCTTCCAGATCTCCACACACCCTAATTGATGGATATAGTTAAATTGAATCTCTTCCTGCATGAGAACCATAACTAAGTGCCTTGATGTTCAATTAACAATTGCACCTCCTTTTTTAAAGGAAACTCTATTGAAAATCCTAACTTGTGATGGATAAGATCTTAGAAGGTGGTCTCTTTGCACGACACAATGATATATCACTGAACCAAACCCTGGTTCAAAGTATTGATGAAACCCTAAGCACATAAGTAATAATCCTTACGCATTTGACCTTGATGAAACTTGAGAGAGATAATACTGTAGCTTGACGAAAGAAATCCACAATAACCATGAACGTAAAACTCTAGCTTCAAACTCTGATTGTTGAAGAAACCAGTCTATTCAAGCTTGAATGAAGGTGAGAGCCTAAAAGCACAAATAAACCCTAATCTTCAATATCCTTGATCCCATGCCAAGCCTTGTGGTTAATGAATGCAAGATGTTGCTAAGTGACCTAATGGAAGGCATGCTGATGAAATGAGAAGTGGAAAACGCATAAGCCAGATAAAAGTGAAAGGGTAGGACAAATTTGGGGTATTACATCTGTCCCTATTTAATCGTCTTAAACTTGAAAGTACGATTGACACGTGCCTTTCGGACTTCGAGATAGAAGATGATTAAATACCAATCCTAAAAATTTGTTATGAGAGAAAGTATGAATGTTTATTTATTTTTGTGATATCTGCTGGAGAAAGAATGTTTCTATTTTCTGGTGAGAAGACGGAGATTGGACTTGTAACGTAGCAATAAAGGCTAATACAATAGAAAGGCTGACTTGTAACGTAGCAACAACGCTAACACGAGGAAAGGCGGACTTGTAACGTGACAGTGACACCAATACAAGGAAAGGAGAGACCCCTAACGTAGAAGTGATGCCAATACAAGATAAAGATTGGTACGAAAAGACGACATATAAGATCTACGGATGACCTACGATACTAAGGTGAAACATAAGAGCAATCTGTCGGAGAACTAGGCCTATGGGCGACTTAAAAATTCTAAAATAAGATCTATAAGGGGAACCTAGCCTACGGGCGATCTCAGGTTCTAAGATGAAATCTCATCTACTGGAGAACTAGGCCTATGGGCGACCTCATAATTCTACGATGAGACATCAAGGTGATATGTCGGAGAACTAGGCCTATGGACGACTTAAAAATTCTAAAACAAGATCTATAAGGGGAACCTAGCCTACGGGTGATCTTAGGTTCTAAGATGAAATCTCATCTACTGGAGAACTAGGCCTATGGGCAACCTCATAATTCTACGATGAGACATCAATGTGATATGTCAGAGAACTAGGCCTATGGGCGACCTTAGGATTCTACGAAGATACCTATAGGCGATCTGCTAAAGAACCAGGCCTATGGGCAACCTCAAAATTCTAAAACAAGATCTATAGGGAGAACTTAGCCTATAGGAGATACCAGGTTCTAAGATGAAACCTCATCTACTAGAGAACTAGGCCTATGGGCGACCTCAAAATTTTACGATGAGACATCAAGGTGATCTGTCAGAGAACTAGGCCTATGGGCGACCTCAGGATTCTACGAAGATACCTATAGGCGATCTGCTGAAGAACTAGGCCTAAGGGCGACCTCAGAATTCTAAAACAAGATCTATAGGGAGAACCTAACCTACAAGCGATCCCAGGTTTTAAGATGAAACCTCATCTACTGGAGAACTAGGCCTATGGGCGACCCCAGAATTCTATGATGAGACATCAAGGCGATATGTCAGAGAACTAGGCCTATGGGCGACCTCAGGATTCTACGAAGATACCTATGGGCGATCTTCTAAAGAACTAGGCCTATGGGCAACCTCAAAATTCTAAAACAAGATCTATAGGGAGAACCTATCCTACAGGAGATCTCAGGTTCTAAGATGAAACCTCATCTACTGAAGAACTAGGCATACAGGCGACCTCAGAATTCTACGATGAGACATCAAGGTGATCTGTCGGAGAACTAGACTTATGGGTGACCTCAGGATTCTAGGAAGATACCTATGGGAGATCTGCTAAAGAACCAGGCCTATGGGCGACCTCAACATTCTAAAACAAGATCTTTAGGGAGAACCTAGCCTACGGGCGATGTCAGGTTCTAAGATGAAACATCATCTACTAGAGAACTAGGCCTGGGCGAGCGTAGAATTCTACGACGAGACATCAAGGCGATCTGTCGAAGAACTAGGCCTATGGGCGACCTCAGGATTCTAAGAAGATGCCTATGGGCGATATGCTAAAGAACTAGGCTTATGTGAGACCTCAGAATTCTAAAACAAGATCTATAGAGAGAACCTAGCCTACGGGCGATCTCAGATTCTAAGATGAAACCTCATCTACTGGAGAACTAGGCCTATAGGCGACCTCAGAATTCTACGATGAGACATCAAGGCGATCTGTCAGAGAACTAGGCCTATTGGTGACCTCAGGATTCTACGAAGATACCTATGGGCGACCTGCTGAAGAACTAGGCCTAAGGGCGACCTTAGAATTCTAAAACAAGTTTTATAGGGAGAACATAGCCTACGGGCGATCTCAGGTTCTAAGATGAAACCTCATCTACTTGAGAACTAGGCTTATAAGCGACCTCATAATTCTATGATGAGACATCAAGGGGATCAGTCAGAGAACTAGGCCTATGGGCAACCTCAGGATTCTACAAAGATACTTATGGGCGATCTGCTAAAGAACTAGGCCTATAGGCGACCTCAGAATTATAAAATAAGATCTATAGGGAGAACCTAGCCTACATGGGATCTGAGGTTCTAAGATGAAACCTCATCTACTGGAGAGCTAGGCCTATGGGTGACCTTAGAATTCTACGATGAGACATCAAAGCGACCTATTAGAGAACTGTGCATATGGGCGACCTCAGAATTCTACGAAGATACCTATGGGAGATTTTCCGAAGAACTAGGCCTAAGGGCAACCTCAGAATTCTAAAACAAGATCTATAGGGAGAACCTAGCCTACAGGCAATCTCAGGTTCTCAGATGAAAACATTGATTACGACTTGACGAGTGAAGGTACAAGGTACGACTCACTATACTGATCTTATTGGGATATAGAGGGAGAATATACACGCGCGTGTATTTGGAGAAATTGAAATGAATGAGTGTTTGGGAAACTGACAGAGATGAGTGTTTAGGAAGTACAACATACTGACACTGCTAGCTGGATATCCTGATATAACGAAGGATGTCAACCAAAGATTTGAGAGTGATATCCTCTTGTGGGGATGTATTGCTATCTTTGAAGGATTCAGTTATTTTGTGTAAAGTACCCGATCTGGCTTATGCTTCGTATGCATGTTTGAATTTCTTTTGCCGCAAAGACCCATTCTGATGGATCGACTATGCGCTTTTGAAGATGAAATGTTACGCCGTGATAACTATATGCAATGCAAAGAAATAAACTTCATGTGGATAAGCGAAGTCTCATTGGGAACTGTTGCTCATCACTGGGGATGCCAATACATATCGGTGCTGGAAACTTACAGTACCAAAGATCGTTGGGGTTACTGATAAGAATTCGCACTGGGAGCTCATGATACCGAAGATTATTGGTGACTCTGCTGGAGGTTGAATTGCTGACGAAGCGAGTTTTCAGGTACGCCATTTAAACTTTGGATCATATTGTTGGGGAAGAGATACTGAACACCATGTGGATCTCTTTGAATACATGCCATGAGTTTACGCCACACTGGGGAATTACCTCTTAAATCACTTATAGATAAAAAGATGGAAATGGACATCTGCGAATACCCCGATTTACTTCATTCGGGATGCACTTGCGCGTTCCAAATCAAACATCGACTCTAAACTTTCTGAATTCACTTGGAGAATCTGGTTTGAAGTTGTCTGTAGCAGATGAAGGCGGCTTCGCGCGCTGGCCAGGCTAGGGTGACCGTTATGGTGCTTTTAGGTTAATTGTAATTGTATCGTACAACATAATTGTCTTGAGCAGCTTTGTGAGTTTGGAGGGAATGCCCCTGTCTGGAGGATCTTGGAGAGGATCTATGCTGAATAGAAGACCGGAATATCCATGGCACAATACAGTATGAGGTGGCCTTTCCCAATCTCTTGAGTCACGAAATAAACTGCTCTTGATTACAGCTTTCTTGAAGTGATTTGTCGACTCTTGACATAACTGCCCCAGGTTGAATGAATTCCGAATAGATTTCTCAACGTGATAACCCTTGATCGACGACAACTTGAAGAGATTTATTGATGTGATAACTTCTAATTGATATTAGCTTGAAGAGATTTATCGACATGATAGCTTTAGATTGGTCAAGCTTGAAGAGATTTATCAATGTGATAACTTCAGAATGACTAAACTTTTACTCAACAAATTATTCTCATGCTGGTCTT